AATTCTCAACTACTTAAAAAAGAAGATGATAATTTCGAGAAAATGTCTAAGGAAATGTGAAATTACCAATAAAAAGTTTGTTGAGAATGTTTACGATCGACAAACCAATTCTGATGGATTTTATCGAAAATTTGTGTTCTATCTCCGAGCCTCAAATCATGTTAAATAGAATTCAAACAATGAAGAAGTAGAAAGTATACAACAAATTAAATTTCTGCATCTGATAAAATTTCATCGATTCAATTTTTATTTTTAAATTATTTGCAGCAATATACCGGTACAACCAGAGGCGAATCCAGAATTTCAAGAAAACGGGTGCACCATTGCTTTAGTAGAATTTTGTGTTTTTTTTTTGAAAAAACGAGTGTTATTAGTTACTAAAACAAATTGAAGTGAATTGTGGCTGGCTGGGATTGAACTCAAGACCTTGGTGTTAAAATCTAACTGTCAAACCAGTGAACCATCCAGCAACTTTAAGAACGGGTTCCAAAAGTGATTATTTAATATGTTCTTTAATAATTATACAAGTAATATATCAAGTTTAGTCGGATGACCACGGGTTCCGATGACCCATTTTTTACACATAAAATCGCCCCTGGGTACAACGGTACTCAAGACAAGATTATAGTAATGAAAGGAAAAATGATAAAAGATAATTATAACAAGTTGGCAAATAAAGGTATATTTGGACTAATATTATAACAACATGAAAAATATTTACCTCAACTATTGTTAGATGACAAATTTGGACCATATCATAAAATTTAACGATATATTGACCAAATAAGTCTCCAAATAGTCTCATGACAGCTGTCTCAATCCCAAATATACTTATAGAAAAATCCATATGTAATTTGATTAAACTATGAAACAAATTTATTTTACAAAATCAAACCAGACGAAGGATATATGGCAGAACCAAATTTTTGCATGTGACCACATGGTGTCAACCAAATTCCAAGACAACAACCATATTATTCTATTCTTTGTTTCAATTTGATGGTATGATTCTGATTTCTGACTTGACACGAAATTTTAAAAAGTTAAATTTTTAATGTTTTTTACCTCTTCTTAAGGAACTTTTACTTTTTTTTTTGTCTTTTGGTGATTCGAACTCACAACCTTAAGATTGAAAATGTGAAGTGCTATTATCATTCGAACAACTCTTGGTAACTTGTAATTAATCTAGTTAATTAGGAATAAACTAGTCACAATTCATCATAAATTTTGAATGAAGACAATTTTCAGTTGGTCCAATATTATTTCACATGTTCCAATATTGACGGCTGTATATTGTTACAACTTACAAGATTCATAGAACTAAACTAGGTACATTAATGCCCAAATGAATCAATTTTTGTGATAATTATTGAAACACTAAAATCTCCCCAATCAAAGGCATATATACACCATGTTAATTTTACATAATATGTGTACATTTTCTAGTTGTGTTTGAGTTGACCACTCCTTTATCTCTTCTTTTAATTTTTTGTTTCCAGAACCATGGAACTTAATTAGTATTATATTTAGGGAAGTGCTAAATGGCCAGAAAATTTGGTCAGAATTTGACCAGAAAATTAAAAAAACTATAATATTTTTTTTAATTTTAAAATAAACTGATTTTTTTTCCGTTTTTCAGTTAAAAGATATTTAAAGTTAAAAGGGTAAAAATAATTAAAAAGATAAAATAACATAGATAAAATATCATTCTGGCTAAATTTTCTAGCCAAAAAGTTTTTTCCATAAATATTTATGTATACAAAGTCGTAGCAAGTCATGAATTACTGATTATACATCGAAAATATGAACTTTCTAAGAATGGTTTCGTATATAATTCAATTATTAAGGCGTTTTGATAGTTAAATAAAATTTAAGAGAATAAAAGTGTGAGGCTCAAGTGTCTTGAGATGAATCGGACAAGTTCACGATCAACCAATTGATCTAATACACTTTTTGAGTTAAATCTTAAGAAATCAAAACCATGAGGTCCACAAATCTTTGAGGTGACTTAGAAGCGCATCGGACCAAAGCGAATAATATACTGATAGTTGAGTTTAAAGGGTAACAATTGGTTCAAATTTAATAATTTACAATAATATATAGGTTTGGAATTAATTCACAATTTGTTGACAGCTATCAATATTTACTACATTTATAATCATCATCTTAATTGAAATTGTGCAATTAGATATTTTGTACAATTTACGCAGTAAGTTAACACAATAAATAATTACAAAAATAGGTACGTAAAGTTTTATAGAGTTAAATTTTGAATTTAAAACTTTTCTGTCACAAATAAATTAAGTAGCGGTTGAGATCTTATTGACATAATTATGACTTTATTCTTAGTCAACAAACGTTAATTTAATTTTGACCTAAAATAAAGTTAATTATGGTGCTAATTAATTAACTAATGACTAATCTACCTATTGGAGGTTCTAGCATCTATGCAAATATTGAATATTAGAAAAAGCAAACATTATCTCTTTTGCAGAGTACAACATAGTGAACGAGTCGAAATTTTTATTAAGCAATATATATATAAAATAAACTATGTCTCTTAATTAAACACCAAATCAATCAATATCTTATTAATTGATTAATGAATCAACATATTAGTGCGTGTAATTCTTTTGTTGGTACAACTTATAGTGATGGAGTCAAAAAAATTACCAAGTAAGTTTAAAATATAAATAAATGAATTAGCTAAGAAAATTTAATATTTACTGTATATATTTTTAAAAAGATATTTTACTTATATATATACAATAGAATTTGAATCAATTGTTCCACCTTTATGGCCCATAATATATACAAGAGCAACTAATTTCCTTCTTTTAATGATTTCTCTTTAAATAATTTCAGATTCACGAAGGTGGGTAATTAGACCTAATATTCTGAGGGTAATTATTACTTGTGAGGAAATTAAATAAATAGTGAATAATGAAAATTATTGTAGCGTTCATATAGAAAGAAAAAACAAATATTCAAACTAGTGATGCTACAATTGAAATTATTGTTTTTTTTCTTCAAATTGAGTTTTTCCTAAAAGTCAAAATGAGAAGTTTCTAGAAAGAATTATAGCAAATTTTGTTTTGAATTTTAAAAGAGAAAATTATGCAAAAATCACACGTTTAAATTGTCAAAGTCATCTTGCTAAAGCGATTTGCACATAATTTATAGAGGGAATCTGAATTTTAATTTTATTAGTTCTTAAGTTTTGAATCATGATTTTCCACGTTAATGACTAAACTCTGAACTTAATATTTGTGTAATTAGTTTTAAAAAGATTAACACAAATTTACTGTTTGAACAGAAATTATTTGATTCGACTAAATCAGTATTTTAAACTTCTAACTCCGCCACTATTTCCAAGAAACTTAGATATATAAAAAAAAGGTTTGATTATTTAATTAAGATTTTGTGATTCAATTTTTACTCGTTTTTTAATGTTGAATATGTTATAATTCTGATATGAATTTAAATTTACTATTAATTAATATAATTTTAGTGAATTTTAAATATTAATTAGTCGATGGCACACAAACTTTGCAACAGGGAAACGCCACCTTCAGGCTCCAAAATTGGCTTATATAAGTATTTAATGCTAATTAAATATTAATAATTCATCAAGTCTATTCATGTGAGATTCTTTTCACTTTAGTGTATATCTCAAAATATTTGCTTCACTATGTCAATTTATATTTTAACTTTTTTTATTTCTACTATTTTAAAAAGAATTTTTTCATATGTCGAACAAATTTAAGTAGCTAATTAAGTTGGTTTATCTGAATTTTTATTGTATTTATGAGGTTTCGATTCCCTATTTTAAAATTCTTCCTATATATACCTCCGATGTTGGAAAAAAATCAATATTTTCTCCTATTAATACTTTCTTAGAAGAATGATAGAGTATAATACATTTAACTCCACAAGATTAAAAATAATGTTTTAATGCCCGCTATAATATACAATTTTATGATAATAAAATTTTAAAATTGCTTATTTTAATTAAAGTTGGAGAAGGAAATCAAAACTACTTAGGAGTGTAGTATTTATTAGTTTATTTAATTCATATATATAACAAAGTATAATACATAAATGTGTCATTTAATATGATTTTAATTGATATTTATACTCTTTAATTTTAGGTGTGCATATATAGACACATGAACTATCACATAATTAAATAAGTAGATACACACGTCCTAATAACTAATTGTGTGAGATGCAATTGTCCTACATGGAAAATCACGTGAAATTTCCATGCATGATACGTGTCTACTTGCTTACTTTATAATACTTCAAATGCTTATCTGTACACACCCAAAATTGAAAGACATAAATATCAATTAAGACCAAGTTAAATGGCATGTAAACTTATATTTTATGCCCTATATAACAACATTTCAGTATAACAATCAAATCTTTTCTGAAATCTATTTTTCATGTTCAGTTATATGATTCATTCTTTATAATAATATTCTGACAACAACATCATTATAAAGTAAATTGAGAGTTTAAGCTTTTTTTTTAAAAAAAGTTTTTTATTCGATGTTCGAAATTTATATTTCAGCTCATAGGGTCCATTGAGATGAAACAATATTAAAAAAAAAAAGTTATATCTGAAAATTAGAAATCAAAACCTCGAATTAAAGAAGAAACGACTCTAATATCATATCAAACAATTTTTTTTTTTTCATGTAACTTTATATAATTCATTCTCTATAATAATATTTCAACAATAACATCGTTATAAAGTGATTTGAGTTTTCAAGCCATTTTCTAAAGTTTCTCATCCTATATTCAAAACTTATATTTGCAACTCAATTCATTTAAATTCACGCCACATAAGATTCAGTTAGAAAAAACACTTTATATTAAAATTAAAAAAATATCGAGACCTCTGATTAAAAAAAAACGACTCGTGCACCCCATCATCCTTTGGTGGGTAAGATTCATGAAAGTTTAATTCGGTAATTTGCCGTTAGTCCACATAAGAAACCCAATAAGCAGCCGGTTGCAGCTTCCTATATTTGACCGATACCTTATGCGTGTTATATTTCAAGTCATCTTCTCAATATTTTCTCTGAGTCAAATCATCAAACACTTGGCCTTCGTTCTCAAAATTCTCCTTTTTCCCACCATTTCTCTGCACCAAAAAACTCAAAAATCTCTCATCAGTGAAGGAAAATCGAGATGGGTTTTTTGAAAGAAGATAGAAGAACCAAAGTTTTGAGATGGGTCAAAACTATTTTTTTCTTGATTTCTATGTTGATATCACTTCTCCTATTTTCTGCACCAATTCTTCTTGTAATTGCAGATACACTTCTTCCTTCACTTTTATTGTCTGCTTCCATTTCACCATATTCACTTTCAATTCAAACGCTTTCTTCTCACTTAAGCAACTACGATTTTCGGTATTCACTTATTGATATCCCGGTCATCTCCATCGTTAGGTCCGTCATCATTCTATGTAAGTTGATCTCTGATGGGAAATAATTTTGGTTGTTTTAGTTAATAGTGAGTAAAATTTAGATTAATTTGATTCAAGCATTTTGTCGAACGGGTTATGATCAATTAGATGGGTCATGGGTGGATTGATGTCGTATTTTTTAATTGGTTAGCTTAGATTTTGATTTCTTTTTTTTGATAAATCGAGTAATTTTGGCAAAAGGGTTATGAAGTTATGATCAATTGGTATGTTGAATACTGAAAAGATTGAATTTTTTTTGTTGATTTTGATTATAGGTGTTTATAGCTTATGTGATGGACCAAGGTTATCAAGAGGGCCATATTTGGGGATTGCTACAATTTGTTCAGTTTCATCATTGGTGTTTGTGTCCTTGAAGGCTTCATATGTGTTTGCACACAGTTCGAGTATGGATCGAGGAGGGTATGTTCGAGTTATGGAGATGGCGTTGTTCGTATGCTCGTTAGCATTGGCTGTTGCTCATGTAGTGGTGGCTTATAGAATTAGCTGCAGGGAAAGAAGAAAGCTTCTTGTTTACAAGATTGATATTGAAGCTGTAAGTTAATTAATCCCTTTATTTTCTCTCCTTGCTCTTAGCAAATTTCAAATTTGGTATAGTTGAAAAGTCACATGGCCAGTTCAGCAAGTTCTTTATTTACTAGAAATAGTACAACTAATTTGAAAAGTGGGGACTAAGGAAAATCAGATTTAGAGACAACATGGACATGGAATTGCAAGTTGTTTGGGTCCACTAAGGTTGAGAAAGGAAGACAACCTTTTGTATACAGGCTTTCTTGATCAATACACTTAATGGGAAATTTGAATAGATAGATTTGAAAATAGAAATGAAATAGGACTCTGATTTTTTGCATCTTGAGAGGAGCCCTTCACTTGAGCTGAGGGTCTTTTGAAAACAGTCTAGAGGTAGTCGTTAGGTTTGCATACTCTCTACCCTCTCAGACCCCACTTAATGGGATTTCACTAGGTATGTTGTTGTTGTCCAACCCTTGATGGACAATGTTACTTGGTGTGCTTGTGCTGGTGGGAGGTAACACGTACCTATGGAATTAGTTGAGGTGTGTGTGAACTGACTCGAACACTAAGGTTATTAAAAAAGGAGGAGTAGACCGGCAATATATGGTTTTTGTCCTCTTGCCAATTGCAACTTCCATGTGCCTTTTGACTTGGTCACATTTGGTTTGAACAAAACTTACTAAGATATTGATTTACTCTCCTTAATTGATGAATTGTAATAGAAATGTGTTCATTAATCATGTTTAAGTGCTAAATCTTTATATGAAAAGCACATGTCACTCATTTATTAGGTTTTACTTATTCTTATTTTCTGTTTTTAACTAACATATTAGCACATGAATGCAGGTCTCAGCATTAAAAACCGGATCTTTTTATCGATATCTTAAAGTTACTCCCTTCAGAAAGACTGAAGTAAAACTCAAATCTACAGAATCCATATGCACATGAAGTTGTTATTGTATTTTCTTTGGACCAAATCCAGTTTCCACATAGCAGGTTTCAGGTAATTAACTATTATCGTATCATCATCTTAATTTTGAAAATATTCTATTCTGTCTGCTGGTTCACTACATTTTGTACGATAAACCATGTGCTGCCACGAGATTCATACTCATAGCTCGTTTGACGAAACATTCAAAGCCTGTTTATTTTCAGAAATGCATCTTATCATAAGTATCGGAAAGTAGCAGTTTGTGATTGACTAATCAATTTGAAGAACACTTTTGCCAATGTTAGAGCAGTAATTTGTGTTTTGTTAAGTTCTCAAATGTGTTTTTCGGGAACAATTACTTTCTTCATCTTCCGAAAACTTCTCCTACTACTCAAAAACACTTATTTTTTCCCCTAAAAACTTGGCCAAACATCTCAACTTAAGCTCCCAAAACCTGTTTTTTGTTGGAAATGTTTTTCGAAAAAAGTACTTTTGGAGAGTAGCAGTTTGTGTTCAGCTAATCAATTTGAAAAACACTTTTTGCCAAGTATTAGAGCAGAAGCTTGGCCAAACGGGCTATCAGATTACCACTTAATTCTTTCTTATTTACTCTTTTATGAATGGATTAGTTTCCTTTAATCTTTTGTGTCATGGTACCTAACTAACTGACTGTTTTTACAATTTTTCTGTTTTTGCAGATATATCCAAAGGAGATCTGAAGTCTAATTGGTAAAGAAAAATAGTCTATATATATATACTATAAAGTATATAAAAAGAAAAAAGCAAGATTTTATGTATATGTGTGCAAATGTGGTGTGTTCTGTATCAGCAATTAGTTAAATATAGAGATAGTGATACAGGACAAGAGCATTATGATTCAGCACCCATTGCTCTCTCTCTGCTTACGCAACTTGTACAGATATTTGTTCTATTTTTATGCCAATTGTGTTTCATGGATTTGAAGATAGAATTTCTTGTTTTGTCATCTATCAAATGTCATCAACTTTAGATTTTTTTGGTAACGCTACGTGGAAACAGTCATTTATGCTTGTATTTAGAATATGTTATTTACATTACATCTTTCAAGGTGCGGCCTTTTTTGAAAACTCTGCCAACGCGGAATGCTTATGCACAAGGTTGCCCCTTTTTAAAACTTATTCCTTGAAAAGCTCTTATTTTATCGAATAGACACACCAAAATTTGCGTCATGATTTCATGAAGGTTTTATTCTTTTTACCGGTTCTTTCAATCAATGATCAGCTAATTTGAGGTTGCAAGTATCTTAAAGACTCGATTCTATATTATTTTATTTGGGACGAAAATAACAAGATCTACTTTTTGATAGGAAATTGTACACCACTCTATCTTATCCACACAACACAAATTTCTACTCATAATTTAAAGAAAAGAAATTGAAAAAAGTAGTCTTTATTGCATAACACAAGCATGATTCACATAGAGGTATTGCTAACTCAAATGTCAAAGGGTGGACATAAGCTTTTAAAAAGCTAGAAGCATGACTAGGTTCTTTGTGGTCCAAGATGATCAAATTATCAATAACAACCATGTAAGTATGAGACTTTTTTATGCTAGGGGTGAACCAAATGGCCGTGGTGATAAAATTTGGGATGAAAATCTTATAGTGTCTCTCGAGATCTGAAAGGAAAAAAAAATCTAATATAAAGCTACTCTTGCTTTTGCGAATATTGAAGCTCGACTAATTTAGATTCGTGTTGGCAAATCTTACTTTGGAGAATGGGGTGGGGGTGTTGTAAATCTCTTTCAACCAGACAATTTCATATCTAGGGATCCAACTCGAAACCTCTATATAAAAATGATGAAACAAGTGTTTAACACTCCACATAGTCTTTTGGATGTATTACAAGTGGTTTCTGGAAAGCTAATACAGATAGATATGAACAAAAATATGAATAACAATAATAATACATATCTTAGTTGTCCAATTTTATAAAACTAGTAGTAATATCAAAGAAACCAACAAGGTACAATATCATAACTTAAAAAAATGTTAAGCCAAAATTTAAAAAATATTTGAAATAACAACTAATTTAACAATCAATTACAACAAGTCCAATAATATGCTCTATAATTTCCTAGATAAATTAATAATTAGTACTTTATTCATTTTGGAGAATCTATTAACCACCTCTCTTGTTGTATAATTCCTTGAAAACCTTTTTTTCTTGTAAGACAATTCAAAAGTTAATAGCTAGGCTGTATAGCTTTAAAGAGTGAATAATTAACGACCCACCATATTATAAAAGGATTACAACTTGACACATAAGCTATATATGCTACTAAAAAAGCAGATTGGAAAAAATAATAATAGAATTTTACAGATCATATTCATACTAAAGTCTTCTATAATGAAAAAGATAATTCCCCTCTTAAGTTAAAATAAATAAATAATAATATTAGGAGAGTCGGTTAATCGAATTGGACTGAATTTGAACGGTCAAAATAAAATGAGTTAAGAAATGAGCTGGTTAAAGTTATTTAGGTCGAAATGAATTGAGTCAACAAAATAGGCTAAATAAAAGGTCATAGCCAACTACATTTTATTTTTCTTTATTTGTTTTTTGTTATAGTTTAATTACCTAATAATCCCCCCACCCCCACCCCACCCTTATTATGTCAACTTATCAAACAAAAGGATTCTTTTAAAAAGTATCTTAGACAAGTTTTATCATAAAGTAATTTGAGTTGCATATTAACCTAACTTTAAAACGGATTGAACTGAACGAATCGAAATGGCTAAGTTAATAAATTGAAAATACTTTTTGAACATATCATATTTGCATGAATAATAGAGGCAGTTACACATTTGGCCACTTAACCAAAATATTAACATCCACTAGCCATTATACATAGTATATACATATATAATATGCATATTATACATATGTCTCAAGTGGGTTGTAATTACTCTTTGATCCTTAATCAAAAATCTCAAATTCCAGTTAAGTTGGAAACATAGTCCCCTTTATTAAGAAACGCTATGATACTTCCCGACTCGAATTCAATTTTAGTCAAACCTTAATATAAATGCCTAACATCGGGCTAATACCCATGACATTCCTCACCCCACCCCATGAAGTAGTTAGTTGAAACGTTATGCAACTACTACCTAAAATATGTCAAGGCCCACCTCAAAGTTTAATTATCACCATACCTAAAAATAACTAACTTTTATTGCACATGAAGAAATTTGGACCACTTGAAGATCAAATCCATTAGGATAATAGGAAGATTTTGTCTAGTACTTTAGTAGCTCATGTGATTAATCTTGATCTATGTGGCTTGTATTGTCCTACACATGTGGTTTAGGAAGCATACACAAATGACTACATATTCATATAGCAAATGCTTCCTTTTTAGTTACCTTATTGACAAAACCCATCATCTCATTTTACTATAAAAAAAACATTTTTTTTAATGACATCGTTTATCTCTAGATATATAAAAACACTATTATAAAGAATATATAAAATAGCATAATATAAAAGATTGGTTCCAAATAAAATTTGATTGTTATAGTATAATATCAAAGGATGATTATTATAGAGAAGCATGAATGTGCTTTAGGGGTGGACATGGTGCAGTAGATACTGATACTATATTGAAGTAAAATTTCTTTAATATCATGGTTTCAATGTTATGATATTATAGTATAATATCAAAGGATGATTGTTATAGAGAAGCATGAATGTGCTTTAGGGGTGGACATGGTGCAGTAGATACTGATACTATATCGAAGTAAAATTTCTTTGATATCATGGTTTCAATGTTATGATATTTGGTATGCATTTTAAAAAAGATTTGGAATTTGGTATGAGGTATAATATTTGATATTTAATTTATAACAAAAAAAATTAAAATATTGAATACCATATCGAAATATATAGTATACAATCCATACATTTTATCATAATACTAACAAATATATAAAACAATATTAGTACAAAACTAATTATTTAGATGTTGGAGTTTTGATTACTATATCCTGAATAAAATGTCTTTTCTATGTAAACGATTAACTAAGGTAAATATTGCTCGTACTTTTTCTTGAATATTTCTTCCTGTTTAAAATGTTAGTATGATATACTGACACGTTTCTTGAAAGTTTAAGTTATAAGTAAGTTAAAGTCGGAAAAACTATAGTTACAGTATACCAGGATCGTAAAATATTGAAATCAAGCTTTAAAATAACTAATTAACCATACTAAATTAATTTAATTTGATAACATTATAATACTATTTTTTAAAAATCGAAATTATCAATATTTTATCGTGAACAACTTTTGCATATATAGAATCTCTAGAAAATTGAAACTCATGTCTATTTGAAATAGACGTTACAACTTACATCCAATATATGAAGCATCTTTTATAAGTGCATTTTTTTGGTTGGTGCACACGATATTAAGTTAATTGACTAACTAACTAGGAAACCGATAAAAATCGAAAGTAAAGATTTTAAGATAAATGGAAGAAATTTAAGAAAGAACATGAAGTTATGAATTGAATAATAACATATCCATTAGAGGTCTCAAGTTCGAGTACTTAGTATGGAAAAATCCTTATACTAGGAAGCACTTCCTTCACTTAGTGACGCGAATCTAGAATATTCTGTCTCCAATACATTTATTGAACACTGGATGGAAAACCAAATATGTTACACCAACTAATTTGAGATTATAGCTTTGCCTTGTTGATAACATTACATAAAATCTGATATTTTCCTAAAATTTGTTATTTTCTTTAGAAATATTTATGTCGATAAAAATATAAAAGAATTTTATAGGTGACATTTAACCTACCTTTCTTCTAAGAAATTGGGTCCAAATGAAGGGAATTGTGTCCATTCACAGAAATGTTCCTATTTTGGAGTTTTTTAAAGTTTTGCTTGTCAAATTGGTGGTCTTTCATCTTTGGCATATAATTATTTTTTTTTGTCAACCCACCCTTTAGTATTTATTTTTTTTTACCTTCGGAAAAGTGTCCTTCAGAAGCATAATTTAATTTAGGGAAAAAGGACAAATATACCCCGAACTTTCGAAAATAGTATATTAATACCCTCCGTCATACTTTTCGTCCATTAGTATCCTCGCCGTCCAATAACCAATGCACATTTACCCCTCCCACTAACAGAAGACTCATTTTGTACACATGGCACAATCCTATACCTCAGCCCAGTTTGACCAAATATTTGACCCAAATTTCAAATATCTACCCCATTACCCATTTAACCCACCCGATTTACCCACAAATAAACTATCTAAAAACATAAAAGAAAAAAAGCCCCTTTACCCATTCTTGAGAGTTTCTCAAGAATGGGTTTGAAGTTATTAATATAATAAAGTAGGTGGATATCATCAATGCGGTTTAATCTGGATAGTTTGGATGGATGTGTATGAATCAGAGATAGCATTAAAGAAGAATTCAACAGTGGAGACAAAAAGAGTTCCATTGATTCAGGCTGAGAAGAACCATGGAAACACCCGTAGGCCAAGAACAAGAGAAGTTAGTTCTAGGTACAGGTCACCTACTCCATCAGCTTCCTCTGGCCCTAGACGTTGTTCTTCTCCAAATGTCACAAGAATTGGATAATCGGGTTAGATCGGGTGGATTAAATGGGTAATGGGGTAGGTATTTGAAATTTGGGTCAAATATATTTGGTGAAACTGGGCTGAGGTGTAGGATTGTGCCACGTGTACAAAATGAGTCTTCCGTTAGTGGGAGGGGTAAATGTGTACTGATTATTGGACGGCGAAGGTATTGATGGACGAAAAGTATGACGAAGGGTATTGACATACCATTTTCAAAAGTTTGGGAATATATTTGTCATTTTTCCCTTTAATTTATACAAAATTTATGTCGATAGAATCTATGAAGTTCAATTCAAAACTCACAAAATTATACCTCAAGGGGCATAACTTATTCCTACAA